GACCGACTAGAGCTCGTAGACGCTTGTGATCAGAAGGATCGTGACACTTCGCGTCATCGTGCACCCCACGCTTCTCGGTAGTGACCGGCTAGCCAAAGGACCATGAGTTGAGCTCGGGCTATATCCCTGAGCTGCTGTGGTCTTAGACTTAACCGTGTGATCAAGTGTCGCATGGCAGCAATACGCAGAAAGTTGGCGTTGAGACTTGAGTTTGGCAAACTCGAATTTAAGATGGCGCTCTACGCGCACGTCCACTCTTGTGGCTTCGCTGTTAGTTAGACAGCAAGGATAGTTTCCAATGCCGTTGAACCCATCGCTCAAAAAGCTCTTCATCATCTGCTGCGGTTTTGCCAGGGGCGAGCACCACAGCACCTGCATTGCGAGTACAGGAGTGCCTCCTTTTTGAGCTCGTAATTAAACGCGGTACCTATCTATTGAGATTTCAAGTGGCACCGAAATGCGAGCTCGGAGAGCTTTTCGCTGATCAAACTCAGCTTGTGTAGTGGCCGGGGCCTGACTACGTAGACGCCTAACGATTGAATGATCGCGTCTTTGCTTCAGTAGCCGGATCCGCCGAGCAAAAGCTGTAATCTACACGAGGGTCTAAAGCCGCACGTGGATGCGAGCGCAGGAGAGCCGCCCAGTGAGCAGCCTCCGATTGCTGCTCTTGTGCCTCGTCGAGGTGATTGGTAATAATACCACTTCCGAGAGGTCGGAGAACGGAGACGATGTCCGCAATGTTTGAACTGGGCTTACGTCGCGCCGTTGGCGCACCTCATCACCTCGTTTTCCGACTTGTAGTCGAATTCCTCCAAATCCTCGACGAGTAAATCCGTCATCCGGGGTTGGCACGGTGTGTTGCGCTCGGTTGCCGAGGGCTTGGGATGTGCTTGCCGTAAAGCCGCGGACATACTGTCCGGAGTTGCACCCTGTGCAGAAGAAGAAGAGTTTAGCTTGCGGGCACACTCGGGACCAGCCAGGCTGGGTGTTTCGTGTGTCATAGACACAGGGCTTTTTAAGCGGAAAATGTTTAAGGCTGTTCTTAAGAACGTACGGTGTCTCAGACACGCAAGCCTCGTATGAGGCGACAGTAAAATGTAAATTGTGGATATTTACAATTATAATGGAGAGAGCGGAACACGTTACGGGTACCCTTGTATGTAAGGGCGGGTGGTACAAGAAGGTCTCACTGTACATATTTGTGGATTAAACAAGCTGGTTTAATCACGCAATAGTGTCGCTACACCGTAACAAGAAACCACTATGTGGCAGGATTGCCAGTAGTAGCGCATATTAATTAGGTTTTATTTCTTTAATTAGGTATTACTATACTTATTGGGAAA